TGTGTGTGTGTGTGTGTGTGTGTGATTTTTGTCTTCAGCCGGAACGTATTAATTGCATTTCAGTGCATTCCTATGGGAAATAGTGCTTCGACTTATGACCATTTCGAATAGCATCCATCTTCTGGAACGGATTATGGTCATAGGTCGAGGCACCACTCTACTCCATATAGCTGGTCCAAAGAGTGGTCATGTGACCACATTTTTAAAATTGATATTCTGATGGCTGCATTTTGCAACAACTGGATTTTCTAATCAAAGGCACTGCTTAGTTGCATTATTGTAACTAAGGAGCAGGTTTTTCTGACTAGGTTCTGCCTCCTTAAATGCTTCTTGTATCATAATGCAAACATTTTGTTACATATCTCCTCCAGCCTGACCCACATTCCTTATCCACTCTATGCATCCACTTGTTTTCCTGGTTGAGAAGGGAAGGGACAATCTGTGAGAATGTAAACGTTCATCCAGTTCATCCACTACAGAGGGAGAGTAAAACATGGTAACTGCAGTGATGAAACTGAGACAGACAGAAGGAAAGCAAATGGAAGAATGTTTGTCGTTATTAATTTTTTGCCACAAGATGTCCCTCTAACATAAAGAATAAAGAAGCAAAACCCTTAGCTATAAATTGGTTGAATAAATTGTGACCACTGTATTATCCAAGGCTTTCACAGCTGGGATCAGAGTTCACGGTCTCAGAGTTCTAGCTCCTGTCCTCTGAAGATGCCGGCCACAGAGACTGGCAAAACGCTAGGAATAAAAACCTCCAGAACACGGCCAAACAGCCTGAAAAATCTACAACAGCCAAATTGTGACCACCATTTTTTAAAAAAACAAGTACTCAATTTACAGTTGCACTGATTATTATAATGCCCTGACTATCACCAGATTAATTTTTGTATATGTGCAGTATAAATGAACAGGAAGGAAAGCTATGATACAGAGATATGGAAACATCTTGGCCTTACATATGGGAGGGAAGGAACCTATGCAGAACATTATTCCAGAGGCTAAAAGCCACAACACAAACTGGGGCTGTTAGGTTCATATCCCAGAGAGCAATGTCAGGAAATCTTGATTACAACTGCAATGTAAATGATCCTTAGCCCTGCTGAGATTGCCAGCCCATATTTTAAAACAAAAGTGATACCTACTTATTTTAGGTTTGAGACGTTACTGTGCTGACAACTGTTTTGTCTGTTCAACTTTTCTCTCTTACCACAACATTGTATTTTTTCTTCTTCCCCAGGCAGAATGTGCCAAAATATTTCAGGAGGAAATCCTTCCAGAAATTCACACGTAATGAGTCACTTACAATCTATCCAATATATTCACTAAAACACTTTTTTCCAATTAGTAACAGAGTCAAGAAACAATATCGTTGGTAATTGCCTTTGCCATAGATAGCTGCCTTCTGAAGTGAGGAAGAGTGCTAGCCATGAAATTAGCTGAACTTTTGCTCCTTCTATTGCATCATCTTTGAAATAAATTTTAGCATGATGTATGTATGCCTGCATTAACTTCCTTGCTGAACAGGAAATGAATTTAATTTATTCATTACATCCTAAAGCTAGAATAGGTCAGTAGCTGGAGTGCCTGGGCTGAGAGTCTGAATTCCCACTATGTCTCCTGGGAAATGAGCCAGCTGGGATCACTCAGAAAATGTGTTGGGGTAACGTGCCCTGCTACCTGTACAGCCTTGAACAAACTGCATGGTCCTGAAGTATCACCTGAAGGAGGGAATAATAAAATATTCTGCTTTATACCTAAAAACTCCAGAGAGGTTTGCCAAAGTCAAAATTAATGTGAAAACATATAGCCATTGTCATCCCTGTGAGGGTTCATTATCAAGGGGGCAGTCATTGTTAATAAAGACCGAGACGTGGTGAACTTTCCAACTGGTTCTTCATTTATTTGAACATCAACATCAACTGGAACGTTATTTGTAACAACTTTCAAAGTCTCTTGCTCCCCCAAACCCAGGCGCAAGGGTGTCCATAAGCTTCCAACAAAAGGGTTACTTTCCTCCATAGTCCATGGTCCAGTTAAGCCTTTCACTGGGACCTGGGTTTCCGGAAATTCTTCTTTAGGAGGAATTAAGGGAAGGGTCTCCTCATTGCCGCTCCAGCCCCATAGGGATGAGTCTTCTCCGGCATCTGCCAACCATGGCCCGGGTAGACCCCCATCTTCTGTAACTCCGCCAAATGCTATGCTTTCTTCCGCTCAATTTCCTTAACTACAGCCTCCCTCTCTTCCCTCAATTTGCGTCTCCACTCCTTCGCCTCTGTTTCTCCCCAATATGAGGGACGGGGTTTCAAACCTTGTTTCCTCCATCTTTCAGCCTCATCATGGGGTACCCGCATCTGCTCCCATCTCCCAGTCCATGGATCTTGCAACCAGATCCATTCCCAACCACCTGGGATCTCTTCGCATTTTTCCCTTATATCTCCAACGGCTGCCTCAATCTCCTCCTTCCTTCTTCCCGCCAAATCTATTTCCTGCGCAGAAGACACAGTTAACCCCTTCAAGGTCTGTACCAGGTCACTAGTGTCAATGCCCAGATCTCTCAGCCCCCTATCGTCCTGTTCCTCCCCCACCTCGCGGGTGTCCACCTGCTTGTCTTTGCGACGGGGTGGTGGAGGGGGAGTGGTTTGGGTTTTTTGGGTCTGCGACAGGAGCGACCGGCACTCTTACAAAGGCCTCCTGCTGGGGGGCCTCACATTCCCCCCCCCTTTTTTTTAAAAGTTGGTTTATTGGATGCTGAACCGGGCTGTCACACAATATGTATTGCGGCATGCTTATGCAGCAATAACATTACAGAACTGTTTGGACATCTAGGAAGTCAGATTATGATAGGAAAGACCTACAAAAGCAAACAAATACTGTATTCTGCAAATTGGAACTGGCCCCCTATAAATGCCTTCATTTATAAACTGTTCCTTGTTTCTTTCCTCTCCTTCGTTAACTGCCCAAGTAAGCAAGCATACTGTCTCTTTTACTAGGACAGGAGTGTTGCCCCAATAAGGAAACAACAGTGGAGTTTGCTGTGGGCAACAGGTAGAAGAAGGAGGAGGAAAGAGTTGGAATCCTTTCGAGGTGCCCTTCTCTGGTAAAAGGAACTGGAAGGAGCGCTGTCTCCGCGCCTTTCTTTATAAACAGTTCCTCCTTTCTCTTCCCTCCTTCCTTAAGTGCCCGGATAAGGAAGCATGCTTCCTCCTTCACCAGCACAGAGGTGTTGCCCCGGTAACCGCCCCTCCCACTTCCAAACAGCCAAGTGACCGTCGGCCTCCCTGGCTAGCGCATGCGCCTTCAAGCAAGAGGCGTCGTCCTGGGTGTGCGTTAAAGACTCGCTTCCCCTTCCGGCTGGTGATCTGTGGAATTTACCGGCTGCTGTCACTATGGGAGCAGCGAGGGAAGAGCGGTGGAGTTTATTGTGGGCAACAGGTAGAACAAAGGGGATGGTGTGGAGTGTGTGTGTGTGGGGGGGAGAGAGTTCTTTTCTCCATGGGCTTCAGACCCAAAGGCAAGTGCCCTTTCCTGCGGGGTTGGGACAGAATTTGGGTGGGAAAGGAAGAGGGTGGCTGGCGCCTGGCTGGCGGCGGCGGATGAGTGAGGGAAAGGTTGAAAGGGGCCTCTGAGGGAAAGGGGTGAAGGGAGAGGCGGGGGTGGTGGTGGACGAGGGAAAGGCCGGGAGGAAGCCTGTGGAGGGGCCTCTCTCCGGTAAAAGGAAGCAGCTGAGGGAAGGGACAAGGAAATGGCAGGGGGCGGACGGCTCAGGATGCTGCAAGTGGCCTCGGTGGGAGGGGGAGGGGGCTCGGGACGGCAGATCTTCCTTCAGAGGTTACTGGAGGCTTGGTTGGGCCCAGGTCCCCCCACTTCCCTCACGTTGGGGTCCTGGTAAGCGCCGTGCATCTGGAGGCTTGGTTAGGCCCAGGTCCCCCCCACTTCCCGCACGTTGGGGTCCTGGTAAGCGCCGTGCATAGAAAGGGAACACCCCCCCATTCCCTCCCGTCCCGTCCAGACCTCGAAGGCACAGAGGTGTGTAAACCGGCGGGTGAAAGGCGGCGGCCGGTGGCAGGAAGTGCGAGCCTGCCGTTGGCTCCAGCGCCTTGCTGCCCTGCCCTTTGAGGGATCTGCCATGGCAAGGATTGAGTTGGCAATGCCTGAAGCATGGGAGAAGAGTCTGTGGGTTTGTCCGCCTTTGAACCAGCGCTTCTACAGTTCATTACCAGTGAACATGGTGGGTGGGGCAAATGGGACGTGTAGTCCCGAGCATTCTTATCCCCCAGGGCCAGTGTGGGCCACGAGAGGCAGTGGCTGTCCCTCCCCACGTTTGTTTCTTCCCCTTCCCTCGCCCACTATCTGAGCAGGTTCCTCTTTGTGAGTGGCTGCATGAGGTTTTCTGGCACAGTTGAGAAATGGATTTCTGCCTTCACATTGTAGCTTTATCTTGATCTAGTAGTATGAGGGAGTCACAAGGAAAGCAGCGGTGTGCCCCTTTTGCACACCTGCCTACTTCTTCAGTGGTGGTATAACAGAAAGATCCAGTCCAGAGAGTCTAATCCTCCCTACCTTGGGGAGGAGGGAGAGTGAGAGCAAGTAAAAAGTACTCTTGCTCCTGGTCAATCTGACTGGGAGGACAATTGAATGGTCAGAAGTGGTGTGACTACTGCTATTTCCAGTTATATTTTTCCCAGTTGTTAAGAGACAGAAGTTTCTCCTGCATGGGGTTTAAGCTTTCAGCCCCTCTTCGAAAGAAAGAAAGAAAGAAAGAAAGAAAGAAAGAAAGAAAGAAAAAAAATGCCATGGGGTCCTTGGATGCAATCCATAAATTTCAAAAATTCACGGCCAGAGTTTTGAGGTGTGGATTTTGCAATGTTTATATTTCTTCTGCACACACAGGCCAATCAGATGAAAGCTAGCATCCATTTGTGGGATTTTACAGGTTCAATGAAGATATTATCTGTCATCTTATACAGTTGTGTTCAAAATTATTCAGCCCCCAATGCTGTAAAGGGGTTTAGGGACTATAGTGTACATTTGGAATTGTATTCAGAATGAAATCCTACAAGGACGTTTTAAAGAACCAAATGCAACTAAAATAACATCAATTGTTTATGTAATACAGTAGTAAATGTTTCTTTTGTGGTTTCTTCATTGCCACAATTATTCAACCCCTTAAAGACTACCACTCTGAAGAAGAGAGGTTCATTCAGGTGTTTTCGATCAGGTATTGAAAACACCTGTGGATGTCACCGAGCACCAATCAAGCATAAAAAGCACCAATTAGGCAGCTTTAAAAGGACTGTGATACTCAGCTCCTTCTAGACATTTACTGGTGTGGTTACAAACATGGTGAAGTCAAGAGAATGGTCCAGGAAGACAAGAGAAGAGGTGATTTGTCTTCACAGGAAGGGCAATGGCTATAAGAAGATTGCAAAGAAGTTAAACATACCAAGAGACACCATAGGAAGCATCATTCGCAAATTCAAGGCAAAGGGCACTGTTGAAATGCTACCTGGTCGTGGAAGAAAGAAGATGCTGACTTCGACTGCTGTGCGCTACCTAAAGCGTAGAGTGGTGAAAAGTCCCCGTGTGACTGCTGAGGAACTGAAAAAAGATTTGTCAGATGTGGGTATAGAAGTTTCAGCTCAGACAATAAGGCGCACACTGCATAATGAAGGTCTCCATGCCAGAACCCCCAGGCGCACCCCCTTGCTGTCTCCCAAGAATAAGAAGAGTCGACTGCAGTATGCCAAAAGTCATGTGGGCAAACCACAAAAGTTGTGGGATAGTGTTCTGTGGACTGATGAAACAAAATTAGAACTGTTTGGGCCCATGGATCAACGCTATGTTTGGAGGAGGAAGAACAAGGCATATGACGAAAAGAACACCTTGCCTACTGTGAAGCATGGCGGAGGGTCAATAATGCTTTGGGGCTGTTTTGCTTCTGCAGGTACAGGGAAGCTTCAGCGTGTACAAGGTACCATGAATTCTCTTCAGTACCAGGAGATATTGGATGAAAATGTGATGCAGTCCGTCACACACCTGAGGCTTGGGAGACGTTGGACCTTTCAACAGGACAATGATCCCAAGCATACCTCCAAGTCCACTAGAGCATGGTTGCAGAGGAAAGGCTGGAACATTTTGGAGTGGCCATCGCAGTCACCAGACTTAAATCCGATTGAGAACCTCTGGTGGGACTTAAAGAAAGCAGTTGCAGTGCGCAAGCCTAAGAATTTGACTGAACTGGAGGCTTTTGCCCATGAAGAATGGGTGAAGATACCCGTAGATCACTGCAAGACACTTGTGTCAAGCTATGTTTCACGTTTAAAAGCTGTTATAACTGTAAAGGGATGTTGTACTAAGTACTAAGATTGAATGTCACTTGGGGGTTGAATAAAAACTAATAATGATGTGAGCACAGAAAAGACATTTGTGGTTATTTCATTATAAACTTAAGGTTATATTTCTCTGACCTACAAGTGCCTCTTTCATGTAAATGTAAGCAAGATGACTGAATGATCAAAATCAATGTCAAAATGGCCAAAACATTCAATTTCAGTGGGGGCTGAATAATTTTGAACACCTGTAACTGTTATTGGCACACTTCAGACATGGAGAATATAAAGCTAGTAGAAGTGGCCACTGACTTTTCTTGTTTTCTTTTCTTCAGTGTACGTATAGCACTTGCATAACAAGCAGAATAGGCAAGGTGACAGTTACAATCATTTGTCATGGCCACCCCAGCACATGTGGGTTTGATCTGGTCCAGTTCCCTTTTCTCCTGTTCTGTATTTGCTCTCCATATATGACTTAGGGGCACTGTTTGTTTCCTATAACCTGTAACATTGGCGTAATGACTGTGGCTCATGGGAATTGGAATATAACAACATCCTGAGCATCACAGAAATTACATCCAATTAAAACCTAACTATCTGTATACTTTATGATTGTCAGGAATGATCAACTTGCATTTCTGTATCATAGTCTGTTTTATAGAAACCAATATATATATAAATATTTCTTTTTCTGCCATCCTTTTTGATAGTTGCTGCATTTATTCTTGCTGTAGATGCATCTTTTGTAGAAGACTTAGATGACTCGTAAGTATGCAGTATTTGCGTTGTAAATGCTGGCTAGAGACGGGGTTTTTTGGATAAATTTTTTAATGTTTTTTAGCTTGCAACAGGTTGGTGCTTCCTGCACCAACATTTCCTGCATGTAGGTAAGATGATAATATGACCACTGCATTGCAAATAGGACATTGGCAAAGTGAGGAGGAGGTAGGAAAGTTCCCTCTGTATTTCCCACCTCACAAGTTTAACAACTATATTGGTGACAGGCCTTACAGGTGCTTTGTGTTTAAGTGTAAAGTGGTTCTTTGATGAATTCTAGTTTAAATTCCGCTTCAATTCCAATGTTTCTTCTAATCTGGAGAGATGAAGTCTGTAGCAGATAATAAAAATTTTGAACAGATCAGAGAAGTTCCTCATTCTCCAAGGCATGATGATCCCCTTCATGAAGTCTCCTTCATCCTAGTGTAGAAGCACAAGCTTAAACAGCATAGGTACCAAGACAAGCATAGGTACCAAGTTAACTGAGTGAGCACTGTTACGGCATGGAATGTGCATTCACCCCTCCACATCCAGCATGGAGGCTAAGCAGGATGCAAAAGGATCCTGTTTGCTGAAGCTACATCTTCAGTGAACTGCACAGAACTTAAACAAGGAGTATTCATTGGGAAGGGCCTATCTCTTTCACAAGATTCCCCCCCCCCCAATTTAGTAGTTTGGGCAGTAAATTTTGTGGGCATACCTGCTAATTTATCCTATCCATATTTTTTACTCTTTAATTTTCCTACTTGTATTACTTAAATATGTAGGGATAAACATGACCAGGGATTCTGTTTGGTTTTAGCATTTGTACAGTGTTACATTACAATTGTTCCTTGAATTACACAGGTCAGAGACAGCATGGTTTTGGTTATATATATATTTTCCCCAATTTTTTCCCAATTTACTTAAGTAAATAAATATTCATTCATGCAGTTACTTCCCAGAACTGCATGAATTCAACACCAAAGGCATCAAAATGATCTACTTCCCTTCAAACACAAAATCTCTAATTTAGTCTCTAGATTATGGGTGGGGGCGTAAGGACCTTTAATGCTCATTAAACACAGCACTGTATGGAAAGGATTGTCAGTGCTATGGAAGAGCGCCCCAACAGATACACTATAACTCTTCTCTGTGTGTGAATCAACTGTGTATGTTTTGTACTTACGTTTTGGGGGGCATAAGAGTTTTTGAACTATGTGGAGATCTGGAGTCCCTTGCTCCAGCATTGTTGAAGGTAAAAGTGTGCTTAGATATATATTGTTAGCAAAGAAAAAAAATCAATACTAGCACTCATGCAAATTGTTTTCACATTTTTCCTTTATTTCCCAGTGTCCAACCAACTGCACAATCTGGGCATGTCCAAATGGACAGTGAGTAGCCAGCAAGATGTGCACATAGTTTTGTGATTTCAATTTTTATTACAACACTATTTACATGATAATGTAGAATGTAAATGTTAACATTCAGTTCAAGAGCTCAGTTTATTAAATCCTTCAACAGTAAAAGACAATGAACTTTGTGGTTTCAAACTGTGTTGTTACTTTATTAAAATGCTGTATGCCCTTACTACACAACAAAGACTTAAGATGTTTTATTTGGAATAAGCTTTTGTGGCCTTTATACCTCCATATCAAGTACAGTTGTTTCTCTAATACAATGTCTGTCAAGGCTACTTCACCAATTATGCCTCTTTCTTAGGTTTAAAGAGAATCGTAAAGATGACATCTGGCTTGTAGATGTGAGTATGACAGTATAGGATAATTGAATTCAAAAGCATCTTACTCTTTATTAGTTTACTTTTAAGAAGTTTGCAAATCATTACTAAGTGTCCTACTGCTTGAAAGAAAAAAGTTAATACAGCACAATTACACTAATTAAAAGTTAACTTTAATAATGTAAAAAGGTTTAGCATTGCTATGTAAAGCTTAAAGGAGGATTGAATGGTAGAGAAAACTAATATATTAATCTACATTACACTGACAGATTGATAAGCCCTGTGTCTTGAGATAATCTTGTTAAATTTAACTTTAGCTACTTTCTTCTTCATGTATTTTGTCTTGCATGTAAATACAGATATTGAATAAATACGTTACCCTGCTACATATTGCAATAATCCTTGGAGGTTACTGTTGGATGACACAGCACTTTTAAAAAACTTGGCTATATGAAATTGCTGTATGTTCCTGTACTTTGCTTTTATTCCCTATTCTAAGTAATAAGATTTTTTAATAAATACTGGCCAAGAACTTTTACTTGCATCCTTCAGTGTAACATGATTAGTGTAAATTTTGGTAGTAAACTGCCTCAAGTTGAAAAGTGAGCATAGACATCTGCTGCCATCCACTGAGTTGCATGTAAAGCAGGTTGTGCGCCACTTAAACAGACAACAGACCACCTGCCAACAATACTTTGATAGACTGAATCTTTGTTTATTGGACCCTCTCCAATCTTTTCTGACTATCCAAACACTGATTCATGATAGCCACTATCTCACCCAAAAATAATAAGAGATAGAACTGATTGTCTCTATGACACATCATCCCATCTCTAGCATATCTTTCCAACTAGGTAAAGGCAGACTTTGAAAAGAAATTGGGATACAGGGGAGTCTTTACAGACATGAAAATGGAGTTATCATGAGGTAGTGAAATAGTTGCTCAGTACATTCTGGAATTGGCTGTCCAAGTAGGAGTGGAACCATTATAAGACAGTGCTTCAAATTATCAATTTGGCCAACTTCTCAAAAAAGAGACTTTGGTTGATCATTAGTTATTACATATTAATCCATCTTTCCTTAATTTATCAGGAGAAGGCAAAAAATAAAGATTCTTGATAGATAACAATTAAATGCATATTCACATCCCTTGATTTGTCATCACACACAGCAATTTCTTTTCCTGAAAAATGAATCTACATGTTCAGAATTTCTAGACTTGGGCATGTATGAATGTTTGAAATGTATTTGCAGTAGGCTTTCTCAAACATGGGTGGCGAACTTATGAACCTCTAGGTGTTGGTAAACTACATGGTCATGTTAGTGGGGCTAATGATGGCTATTGAAGGTGAAGTGAACAGCACCTTAAGGGCCACAAGTTCTATATCCCTGCTCTGTTTACTCTGATAATTACTCTGTTTTGGTTTCTTCTCAGTTTTATGCACCGTGGTGTGGCCATTGCAAGAAACTAGAGCCAGTGTGGAATGAAGTTGGTAAAGAGATGGGAAGCACTGGTTCTCCAGTAAAAGTTGGGAAGATGGATGCCACTTCCTATTCTAGTATGTGTAGTATAAAGTCTGTTTAATATTAGAATAATAACCTTTGAAATTTTAGAAAATCTAATACGTTACTGAACAATATACACTAGTCAGAAATTGATGAAAAGTGCACTAGACATGAAGAGCTGCATGGGGTACATTAGCAAGGCTTCCTGCTGGGCGATAGACAATAACTGTAGGAAGATCATATTCCTGTAGTAATTTTTATGGCTGAGCAAAAGTTCTAAATGACTGATGCTGTGTACCAAAATTGCTTCCACAAAAAGTCTATGAAAATATTCTGGAATATTTGAATTAGTATAAGTAATGATACATGCTGTTGCATTTTTTGTAGGTATTGCCTCTGAATTTGGAGTTCGAGGCTATCCAACAATTAAGCTGTAAGTTGAACGTTGTGTCTTTTATCTAAAATGCTAGTCCTTACAGTGTCCTTTGTGTCTACCTCATGAATTTTGTACTTCTGTGACTAGTGTTCTTTTCTTTTCTGCTCTTTTAATTGAAAAGCTACTTCAGGAGAGATTATAGCTGCTCCCCCCCCCGTCCCCCCTGAAGTAATGTCTTTGAAATACACTTCTTTTCTCTGTTGATGAAATGTGAGCCTATGTATTGTTTGTTCATTGTTTGCTGAATGTGCTGAAGATGTTGTGAACATTTCAGATACTCATACAAGATTTTTTAAATGTAATTTTACTTAGATTAAAGGGTGACTTGGCATATAACTATAGAGGACCTAGAACCAAAGAAGATATTATTGAGTTTGCAAACAGAGTAGCAGGGTAAGTATTTGTGAGTTTAGTTCTTTGTGGCATGTATTATGAAGCTTTGACACTGGTTTCTTTGTGGGTTTTTTTGTTTTGTTTTTTTAAGATAATAGAGCAATGTATATGCATCCTTGCACAGTAGTATCCACTGCCACCAGGATGGTTCAGTGTTGTAACTATTTGTTGCTATATCTCCTGATACTTTTGCCATAACTTGCAAAAATTGGAGAGGTTATGTGAAGTGATGTCTTGACCTTTATATGTGAAATTCTCTTGAACAATATGTTTCATCTTTTGTTCAATAAAACCTTTGAACATGAGGCAGATAGTAGATGAATCTTCTCCACTTTCACTGGCCCCTTATAGTTTCCTTTGTGTAGCTGTCTGTGACTAGGTGTAAGAATTTGTCTGCCAGAACAGCTTAATATTAAGTTTATACTAGTTTATGTCCTGGTTATTCCAAGCCAGTCCCTTATTATGTGATCTAAAATGGAGATAGAGTTTTTACTATTGCCATTTGAAGTGGTTTTCTGTTACATATGTGTGGTACAAATGTTAACAATTGTTGCTGAATATTTTGGTTGTACTAGAGTACTTTGAGACTTTCCTTCTTTAGTTTAGTCTAATTGGAAAAAGTTGCTATTAAGATGTGTAACATCTCACTACCAAAAATGAAATATTTAAAACAAAATATATTAGAAAACTAGTTCAAATATATATTAGAGTTTGTTTAAATGTTTTTGGCATTTAAATAGATGTGTTTTGCAAATGTTATTTATTTTTGTCTGAGGAACCTTTAAAAGTGAAAGAATGACATAAAGCAGCTTAATGTGATGATCATCTGCAATTGTTTTTAAAATTGTAGGTTATCATTTTAAAATATCCTAGAAAAATGGATGGTTACTTTCATTTTCTAGAAATCATAATTTCACAGCTATCTTCATACAAATGATAAAGCAAAATGCATCTCAGTACATGATGAAATTGGAATTCAGTGTTCTTAATTAAGTCTTTAAATGTTTCTGTATTAACTGCAGTAATGATGCAATTATAGACCATAGTTGCTAAATTCATGAGATAAGCTGGGATGATGTAATGATTGCTACTAAGGAATAGATATCAAATTGAAATAAATTCTGGCAAGTTTTTTTTCCTTGAAGTAAACATGCTCTTTCAAGGCAAACACACTAGTGCTTTCAATGTGTAACTTTATTACTAGTCTTAAGCGTTACTGAGATTGTTTATTATTACCAGTTTATACTTTCAAGTTCATCCTCTAGTTTTAGTACAAATAATAGATAATACATGTCTATCAGATTAGCACAAATTAGTTTATATATGGTTTACTACTTACACATCTCTAAGTGAGCTGGAAGTCTTACAACTGATGAAATTAGACCAGCTAGTGTGATCCATTGCTGGTGTGTAGAAACCTTTCTTGGCTCAACTTTAAAGGAAAAATAGATTCAAACCACAGGTTAATTAAAATTCTTTTAGTTTGTGACAATACTGTTAATAGAAATACAGGAAGCATGCTTAGAAAGTTGCTTGGCTATTTGTTTTCTTATACATACTGATTGCTGTTTTCCCCCTTCTGTTGTCCAGACCTATTATTCGACCTCTCCCTAGCCAGCAGATGTTTGAGCATGTGCAAAAGAGGCATCATGTATTTTTTCTGTACGTTGGTGGGGAATCTCCATTAAAGGTTTGAAATATCAAGTACACTTTTCTTAAAAAATGTTGCTCATTGTCAAAATGTTCTAGGTCTGGATTTTTTATATAGAGGTAATTATAAGCTTTAATGATGGGAAAAACGTAGAATAAGGTGCTGTAGTTGCCTGGTATAGTTAATAATTCAGGGAGCAGTTGATATTGATCTTAAGTGCTTAAAAAACATATGGCAGATAATATGTAACACTGTGTCTTTCCTTCTTACCTAGAACAATTTATGAAAACTAAAAATCTGTTTTTAAATATCCATTTGTATTTCCACAGGAAAAATACATAGAAGTTGCCTCCGAACTAATTGTGTATACATATTTCTTTTCTGCCTTGGAAGAGGTATTTCCTGAGGTAAATCCATTTAACAATTTAGTTCAAGTAATGCTGATTCAGTCCTTCCTGCTGTATTTATTACTTTACATCAATGCAAATTAGAATAACCACTGAGGTTTTTCTCTTTGATTTCTGATCGCTCACAAAATAAATTATTCACCTGTAATTTTGTGAAGCAATTATAGATTGGTAAGCCATCATTAAAATTTGAAGGCACTTTGCTTCCTTGGCTGTCAGTGCTGCACTGTCTTAAATTAGGGGAGTCGAAAACTAGGCACTCAATCCAGTTACTCATGCATTGTTTAGGCCCATTCTCTCTTCTTAAACACTTTGAAAAATGTGATGAGGATTATATGTCTTTGGATATAGGATAGATATAGAGCTACTGGGAGTATAGTATGATTACATCCTTGTCACCATTTGAGAACTGAAGGAGAAACAGGACTGCCTTGTTTACTTACTGGCTTGTGTGAGTGATGAGGGAGAGGTTGAAGCTAGACTAACCTGCACTGCCCCACGAAAACTCAATTCCTGATAAATTATGATGGCTATTCTATTTGTTGATCTACCTACCATCATCCTAGCCTCCGAAAAGGTAAACAATATCTCTACAGTTCTTTGTTTTTCAGAATTTAATGGCAGGTGGGAGCCTCATAGTTTATGAGAGAAGGCTATAATCATATACAATCTACACCACTTGCAGTAGCATGATCCTATGTACAGTCCCTCACTTCAATATGGGAATCAGACTTTGCGTCCTTGTTCAGCATCTATGGCGAACCTGGAGAAAATATATGCTACTTATTGCCAATTCATGTGAATGTTGTAAATCTTCTGTACCTTGTCCCTATACTTGGCAAAGACAGACTACAGTAGTAGAGCTGTATTATTGTAGACTGAAATGGTAAGACTCACTGGTATTTGTGTTATTCTTTGTATGAAGACACTCAATATTGTTTTACATTTACATATGAAACGGTGCATTGCATTGCATTTAACATTGATAGATCTGTTTACTTTCGGTTCTTAAACATCTATTGGTGCAAGAACTTAAAATGTAAAAAATCTCCAAGATTTCATGCTATTTATTCATATGATTTAAAAACTAGATGTCTTGGTAACTTTGGTTAGAAATGTCAGTTGATTTTTTTTAAAGTGCTGAGACGTTAATTTCATGCAATTAATTTGATTAACCTGACTAAAATTCTCCTTTTAAGCAATCTGATTCTAAACATATTTAAATTTAAATATGCACATGTGACATGATATACAGCATATAAAATACTGTATTTTTCTATCTATAAGATGCTAGGTAAAGGTAAAGGTTCCCCTTGACATTTTAGTCAGTCGTGTCCCACTCTAGGGGGCAGTGCTCATCCCCGTTTCCAAGCCGTAGAGCCAGCATTTGTCTGAAGACAGTTTCCGTTGTCACATGGCCAGCACGACTTAGACCCGGAACACTGTTTACCTTCCCACCGAGATGGTACCTATTTATCTACTCGCATTTACATACTTTCGAACTTATAGGTTGGTGAGGAGCTGGGACAAAGCGATGGGAGCTCACTCCATCGCGTGGATTCGATCTTACGACTGCTGGTCTTTTGACCCTGCAGCACACAAAGGCTTCTGCGGTTTAGCCCGCAGTGCCACCACGTCCCTTTTATAAGATGCTACTTTTTCCTAAAATCATTAGTACGTTAAAAATTGAGGGGCATCTTATACACAGAAGTAAGCTGAGATAGCTCAGGAGAGAACAAAACGGCACATACCTTGCCTCTGTAAACAGGCTTCAGTCAGGAGGCTTAGCTTCCTCCAATCACGAGCCTTATGGAACTGATGCAGCTGATCCTCAACAAACCAGTTGGAACACACCTCCTTGGAGGTGGAGTCCGTAGGTTCAGATTCAACAGAGGCTCAAAATATCTGATGTTCTGAGCCCAGAAAGTTTTCTTAATTTTGGGGTTAGAAAATTGGGGAGGGGGGGATCTTATAGGGGAGTTATTAAACAGAAAAATACGGCATTCACTGCATGTTGTGTGGGAAATTTATTTTGAATATAACATGCTATTGGTTGCATGACTACAATGACAACAGAACTTCCCTGACAGTACTAACTAAAGTAATGATGATGCTCACAACAAATCTGGCAGGAGTGTTCATTTTATTTTCACTTTATGACAGCATAGTTTGTTTCATTTGCATGTGACCACCCCCAAGCCCAGCTCTGATCCTACCTTGATGTTGGGGCGCTCACCACCTTGGTGCATGCGCTTGTAATCTCAAGATTAGACCACTGTAATGCGCTCTACGTGGGGCTGCCTTTGAGGCTGTTGTGGAAACTCCAG